AGGCAGAGAGTGATTGAGTCAGGACAAGAGGGAAGGACATTCCTGGCATAAGTTTGGGAGATGGTAGGTCCACCAGTGAGCTGGAAGGTCAGGGTGCTGAGGGCTGTCCTGACTTGGGCAGTAGAGGAGGAGGGTGAGAGGAGGAGTGGGGTTCAAGCCATGGTGCAGACTCCCCAGAGCTCTGCTGAAGCTGACAGATGCAGGTGTTTCCTACCTACTCGGTAGTCCCAGAGGAGAGACAGGGGCTCTTCATGCAAACGAACAACTTTTCCCCTGACCATTCAGATCACTCCCTGTGCCTGAGTAGGGCAACATTTCTGGGAGGGGTTGCCTGGGCTGGTCCTGGCCTGATGCTCTCAAGAGGGTCATCTAGCTGCTGGCCCCAGTGAGCCCTGCATGGAGACCAAGTTCAAGTGTCTAGTTTTCTAGCTGACAACTGCACAGAGACTTCAACAGCAGGCCCACAGCACACCCTTGTACCCATGCCCAGGTCCATGTGTCTGTGACCAGATGCTAGGGGGTCCTGAGAGAGATTTTTGCCCCTACTGTGGCCTTGACCACTGCCTACTCTCTGTCCAAGGGCAAAGTAAGACCCCTCCTCAGGGTAGCCTCCTATTTTATTTCAGACTTTAGTTGTCTATTTAAATCTCTTCAGTGTGAACAGGACACACGATACACCCCACTTTGTAAGGAGTCCTCCGGGGAAAGGTATCTCTCATACACATTCTACTTGGTAGTTGTCATGGGATAATTGACATTGACTGGAGCAGAATGTTTGCATTCTGCAGTCGTGGAAATGTGAGAATGGATTGGACTGTTGGCTGCATGGCCATTTGCTTTTGCAAAAGCACATCAAGCTGTACAATTAAGACCTGTGAGTTTTACTTTTTATAAGTTATCTTCCCATACACTAAATAGAAAAAATATAAGAAAATGGTTACTTGGCCAGGCGCAGTGGCTCATGCCTGTAATCCCAGCACTTTGGGAGGCCGAGGTGGGTGGATCACGAGGTCAGGAGATCGAGACCATCCTGGTCAACATAGTGAAACCCCGTCTCTACTAAAAATACAAAAAATTAGCTGGGCATGATGGTGTGTGCCTGTAATCCCAGCTACTCAGGAGGCTGAGGCAGGAGAATTGCCTGAACCCAGGAGGCGGAGGTTGTGGTGAGCCGAGATCGCACCATTGCACTCCGGCCTGGGTAACAAGAGTGAAACTCCATCTCAAAAAAAAAAAAAAAAAAAAGAAGAAGAAGAAAAGAAAATGGTTACTTTTCAGACAAAAACCAATGGAATTTGTCACCCACAGAACTGCTCTAAAGGAAATTCTAAAGCCATTTTTTCAGCAAGATGAAAAATAATATCAGTAAGTTGTCCCCCAAATTAGAAATAAACATTTTTAAAAGTGTTTTTATAAAAAAGGATAAACTCAAAGGAAAATTGAGTATATAAAAGAAAGATTTTTACATCAATTGGTGTGCACATGCATATATGTGTACATGTCATGGTGCATGTGTATGTGCTTATGAACACATATCAATAGATGTGCATGCATATTTGTGAACATGGCATAACCATGTGCTTGGATATTAGGTAAGTTGCTAGAGAGTAAATGGAATTGAAGTTTCTACATTCCGACTCTATACTCCCTGAAGTTCTACTTTAGACACTGAGCTGCCCTAGTCTTTTTATAGTTTCCCAATCAAGGGGACAGATTTTCTACCTCGAAAAGAAACTTAATGTAGGGCTGTCTCCACCTCACCTGTTGGCCCGAATGCTCCCAGGCCAACAGGAAAATGAGAAGAGGAGAAGAGCTGAGCCGTAGAAAAATTTCCAATGGGCAGAGAATGCCTGGCTTTTGATAGGCCCCAGGTCCTAGCAGATCAAAGCTTTGGGCCAATCAAAGTTTGGGGAACTTGCCATCTGATCAAACCGTAAGGAGACCCTGAGTGTTTTCCCAGTTTGTGGGACCATGTCAGGAGAATTTCAATGTGCCAGATTGACTGCAGGGCCCCAGTTTCTATCAAGCCACTCTGACAGGCCTGAGCCCTTCCCTGCAGAGTCCTAGATGGCCTGGATCAACTTTGCTGGTGCTGCTGCTCACCACCTCAGAACGGGTTTATCAAAATTCCAAGTTTAGATGAGGATTGTTGGCCCAGGGGAGACAGTATCATTGGAACTAATGTAGAGAAGGCTTGTCTTCCATCAGCATAGCATAGAGTAATAAGCTTTTAAATTAGATGGAATAGAGCAACCACAAAAAAATCAAGAAAAAAAATAAATTTATCTTTCCACTATTTAGTATCCTGGGTGTAAAAAATTAAATTATTTCTACTGCTCGTGTATTGGGTAAACTCCTCACCAGTTTCAGGATCTTAGATTTTTTCTTATTTTATCTCTTTTTAAACCTTCATTTCTTATTCAAAAATACATCCCAATGCCTTACAGTTAGTATCCAGCTATGTGGAAATAATAAGAAAACATCTCTGTTTTTCAAGTATTACATTTTTTTACCCATGAATTATCAGTAGTGGGCCAGGTGTGGTGGCTAATGCCTATAGTTCCAGCACTTTGGGAGGCCAAAGCAGGAGGATCACTTGAACCTAGACAAGTCTGGGCAACAGAGTGAGACCTTGTCTCTACAAAATGCATAATCAGCCAGGCATGGTGGTGCCTGCCCATAGTCCTAGCTACTTGTGAAGCTGAGGTGAGAGGATTTCTTGAGCCTGGGAGGTTGAGCCTGCAGTGAGCCATGATTGCACCACTGCATTGCAGCCTGGGCAAGAGAGTGAGACAGTCTTTAAATAAATAAATAAATAAATAAAGCCAGGTGTGGTGGCTCACACCTGTAATTTCAGCACTTTGGGAGGCCAACGCAGGCAGATCACCTGAAGTCAGAAGTTTGAGCCCAGCCTGGCCAATATGGCAAAACGCCTTCTCTACTAAAAAGCAAAAATTAGCCGGGCATCATGGCACATGCCTGTAATCCCAGCTACTCAGGAGGCTGAGACAGGAGAATCATTTGAATCTGGAAGGCAGAGGTTGCAGTGAGCCAAGATTGAGCCACTACACTTCAGCCTGGTTGACAGAGTAAGACTCTTTCTCAAACAACAACAAAAATAGAAACAATAAATATCCACATTGTATGTTTATGTGTTGTCTTTTTTTTTATTTTATTTTTTATTTTTGAGACAGAGTCTCACACTGTTGCTTGGGCTGGAGTGCAATGGTGCAATCTCTGCCTTCTGGGTTCTCTCAATTCTCCTGCCTCAGACTCCCGAGTAGCTGGGATTACAGGTACACACCACCACGCTCAGCTACTTGTTTATATTTTTAGCAGCGATGGGGTTTCACTATGTTGGTCAGACTAGTACAAATTCCTGAGCTTGTGATCTGCCCGCCTCAGCCTCCCAAAGTGCTGGGATTGCAGGTGTGAGCCACGGCACCTGGCCTGTTTATGTTATTAATTAAGGATTACATGATAAAACTTTTCCATCCTATAACTTTCATGTAATGTTTCCTGTAAATATATGGATACACATTAAGGTCAAAAAATATGTAATGAAGATTTAGTTACACTTCACCCAGTTTCCCCCAGTGTGCTATCTTACAGCATAATACACAATATACAATATCAGAATGATGCAATTAACATTGAAGTAATGCTTTATGCCATTTTAACTACGTGTTTATTTGTGTTATCATTTTACTTTTGTGTATATACTTCCATTTAGAGTTTACTACAGAATCACATGCTTGTCTTTTGCTTTTTATTTTTCTCAATGTGACAAATTCTGTGTTTTAATATATGTGCTGGTTTCACTTACATTTAATAAAATGATTAACATGGTTGGATTTAAGCTTAAAATTTTAATATAAGTTTTCTTTTTGTCTCCATAATTTTTGTTCTTCTTTGCCCTGTTCTGTTACTTTTTGATTATTTGAACATCATTTAGTAATCTCTTTTGATTTTTATCTTGGTTTTATATTGTTATCTCTGTACAATTTTACACTGGTTGCTATAAAGATTACAACATGTATGTGTAACTATTCATAATCTATTTCTATTTAATAATAGGGCTAATATTTTCCCTCTCACATAGACCTTTTACATTCCCCTCTTTCAGTTGAAATTGTCATGTAGAGTATCTTTTTTATAATAGAAATTATATCAAAGATGCTATAATTTAGCTTTTGATATGGATAATTTACAGAACTTAAAAACTAAAAATCAGGTATTTTACTACTATACTTATTGATTATTCTTCCTGCATTCTTTGAGTTCAATGTTTCTCTCTATTATTGTTTATCTTCCACCTGAAATTTTTCCTTTAGAGTTGATTTGTTTTTATTTTTTTTTAGCACATCTAAAAGAGGTAAAATGTTTTTGGTGTTCTTCATCTGGCAAGGTCTCATTTTTTTACCTATTTTTAAAACAAATATTTATTGGATATAGCCTTATGACTCAAGAGTTCTTTCATTGTTTGTTTTGACATTGTTAGAATACAACACTGCCATTTGGTCTTGGATGTATACTCATATACATTTTCTGCTTTCATAATTTTGTAATAAATTCCAGTAATTTATTATTACATGTTTAGGCATTTTTAAAAATCTATCTGTTTTGCATCACTGAGTTACTTAGGTCTTTAAATGCATGTTCTTTATGGAAAGTCCTTAGTGGTGACCAGTGGCTGGGGAGAAAAGGTGAAGAGTGACTGCTAATTGTGGGATTTTTCATGGGGTGATGAAAATGTTTTAAAACTAGATTATTGTGATAGATGCATAATTATGTAAACACAATAAGACAATTTAATTGTACATTTTATACTAAGTGAAATTTATCTCAATTTTTCAAATAGAGACAGACTATGTGAGAACAAGGCCCACTGACCCATTGCAGGGGCCTGTGGCTGAGTCTCACTTTCTCCTATATTTCAACTGTAGGACCAGCCACAGACACCTCCTTGTTTGTCACAGGAAAGTATCAGGTGATCAGCCTCAGGACAGGCCAAGGGTAGGTTTTTGTCTCGGTTTCCCACGTGTCTGCAGCACTGTGTGAGCGCTGAAGCTGTTGTCCCATGCCGAACAGTAATAATCAGCCTTGTCCTCAGACTGAAGGCCTGAGATGGTCAGGGAGGCTCTGGTCCTAGACTTTGAGCCAGAGAAGTGCTCGGGGATCCCTGAGGGCTGAGAATTTCCAAGCATCACAGTTTTGGGAGCACCGTGAGAAATCTGTTGGTACCAGCCCACATTATAACGTCCAATGTTGTTGCTGTTTCCAGTGCTGTCCCTGGGCCTGAACTTGGGGAAGGCTGAGTGTGGGGTGGGGCTAGGGGAGCCTCTTCTGGCCCTGGGAGGTTCCAGCTGCTGGGGACCAGGAAGAACAGAGCAGAGGGCCTAGAGCAGAGGTCCAGGGCTTGGCTTCCCAGTTGAGACCTCCACAGACCCTCAGGGACAGGCCACTTTCCTCCACTGTCTCAGAGCCTAGGTTTGTTTCTGACTAGCTTGAAGATCCTGGAACAATGCTAGCTTTCAGCACTGCCTTGCACACACCATCCCCTCACAAAAGCAGGGCTGATGCACCTCTATCCCCACCCCAGGCTCTGTGTTACAGGTGCTCACCACAGCACATTTCTTGCTGCAAAGATGTGGCCTCCTTGGCATGAGGTCATCCTCTGCTTCTTCCCCATTTAGATTTTGTTGTGGTTGGGGCCACAGGTGAGTGACCCTCAGAGATAACATGTCCTGTGCCCAGTGGCCAAAAGAGAATGGAGGTTAACAAACCTCCCCAGCCTGCATATGAGCCTGAGGGCCACTGCTGCTCTTTCTCATCACACTCCACATCCCCCATAGCAAGCCAGGCTCCATGACCCTCAACACTTGTCCCCATCATACCCATGATGGGGTGAGATTTTTAACAGAAATGCACAGGAAAATTATTTTAAAAAAGAAGCCATCATTATTAAAGAGAGAAAGGTCTGCTTCTTTTGTGGATACTGGGACCTGAGGAAGATGACCAAGGACACCACTCTTCTCAGAGGCAAACAGGAGCCACAGCCCAGAGAGGAGCCACCAGGGTGACCAGATTTCTGCACCAGGTGGGCTGTACACAGAAGGGTGAAATTAGGAATGGGGGAGGTTAAGAGTAGAAGGGTTAGAGTTTTGTGAAAAAAATCAACAAGAGGACCCAGAAGTTCCAAGACACCCTATCTATGCCCTCTACTCACAGTCCATTATTTATCAATTCATATATTCTTTTTTTGGCGGGTAGGGGGGTATTTGAGAATAGATTTTGCTCTTATTGTCTAGGCTGGAGAGTAGTGGTGTGATCTCGACCTCCTCAACCTCTGCTTCCAGGGTTCAAGCAATTCTTGTGCCTCAGCCTCCTGAGTAGCTGGGATTACAGGCGCTTACTACCATGCCTGCCGAATATTTATACTTTTAGTAGAGACAGTGGTTTCACCATGTTGGCCAGGCTGGTCTCAAATTCCTGACCTCAGGTAATCCACTTGCTTCAGCCCCTCAAAGTGCTGGGATTACATGCATGAGCCACCGCACCTGGCCTCAAATATTCTTTTACAGCACTTACTTTGTGTCAGAAACCATTCTATTTGCATCATAAATGTTAATACGATTATTTTTCTGAGGACCTAATCCACAAGTGTAGTTTCAGTGGCATTGTGTGCTGATATAAGATTACACACACACGCACACTTATACACATACAAACATGTACAAGTGTGTGTATGTGTTTAGTGCTTTAATCTGCATGAGTCAGAAAAAAGTTAGTGTGGTAACTTTCATAGTGATCTACACAAAACAAAAAGATGTCTGTGACCTTGACAATTTGATTCATTGTGGTAACACTAAAACCTGTATATTGTTATTACTTAGTAGTCAGCAAATATTCTTGATTGAAAACTTAGTGAATATTTAAACACACACACACACATACACACACACACACACACACACACATTTCCACCTATCCCAACCCTGGGCTATATATATATATATATATATATATATATATATATGATGAAAATATTATTTCAGTCTTTCCCTTTTATTTGATAATAATTCTTCATCTAAATTCTCAGCCAGTTTCTTGGGAGCCACCCGAGATAGATCTACTTTCTCACACACAAGCTCCAAGCCCTCTCCATGTCCGATGTGTTCTATAGCATAAAGTAACAATGAATCTGTTCTCTCCTCTTTATCCCCACAGTAACTCACCTAGATCTTTACACCAGGATGACAGTAGCAACCCCATCCTGTCTTCCTGTCCCAGGCCTCTCCATTCTATTCTCATTACAGCTAGAAAGTCACTGACCAAATGCCAGTGTGAGTTCATCTTTCACCTCACAGCCCTTAAATGATTCTATGTGCTTTTCTCAGGGTTCATTATGCTGATCTGCCCCCAAGTCTGCACCCCAGCTCTGAAGCCACCCTAAGTCAGAGATGTTGGAAACAGTGACTCCATCTTGAATAGGGGCTTGGTAAAATGAGGCTGAGCCATGCTGGGCTGTATTTCCAGGAGGTTAGGCATTCTTAGCTACAAGATGAGCTAAGACCAGACCAGACTGATGTCACAAAATACAGGTCATAAAGACCCTGCTGAAAAGATGGGTTGCACTAAAGAAACCTATCCAAATCCACTGGAATCAAGATGGTGAGGAAAGTGACCCTGGGTTATCACCACAGTTACAAATGCTATGGCAACACCCAGAAGTTACTCTATATGGTTTCTATTTTTGAAAAGAACTTCTGAAAACCTAATTAAATAATCCACTCCTTGTCTAGCATATGATCAAGAAATATTCATAAAAATAGCCAACCAGCAGTGTTTGGTGCTGTGTTGTCTATGGAGTAGCCATTCTTTTGTTCTTTTGCTGTTTAATAAACTTGTTTCCACTTTATAGACTACCACAAAACTTTTTCTTGTGTGAGATCCAAGAACCCTCTCCTGGGATCTGGGTGAGGACCCCTTTCCAGTAACACCTGCAGGGAGCACATTCTGGCCCCTTCCCTGCTCCACTGACTGGAGGCACAGGCCAGGGTAACGTCTCTCATTGACTTGAATGACCAGTGACCCATCTTTGCATTCTCAACTCTGATTAGAATTGTCTGATCGTCACCCTCCACCCACTGCACTCCTGCTCATTCTGAAAGTCTCGCATGAAACCATACTTCTTTAGATTAGGCCTCTTTGGCAACTTGGCACCAGCTCTCACTCCCACACCCATATAAAAACGCTTTCCCATATGGATCTCTTGTTCTACTCTCTCTCTCTCTCTCTCTCTCTCTCTCTCTCTCTCTCTCAGCTCCTGCTCAGTAGCTGAAGCAGATTTGGGACCACAAACACACGACTGGTAGAGCTTTGCTTTTGTTTTTAACTGGGAAAATTTTTATAACTCCTTCAGATAAAACACACGTGGATACTGGGGAAGAATTCAGGGAAACCTTTCTCAGGGGCCTCATCTAATATTTCTGATACAGGCTGGTCTTTGAGGCCTGTCCCTACCTGTGCAGTGAGATAGGAACAAGAGGAGGAGAGGAGTCCAGGCCATGGTGGACACAGTTCCTGATTCCACAGTGGGGCTGGGCTGCCCCAGGCCTCCTTTTCTTCCCACCATCTGCAGAGAAGGGGCTGCTCATGCAAATGTCTTTTCACAGAGGGACTACCCAGACCCTCCTTGAGCCCTGGGACTGGAGCTCAGCTCACACTGCAGCCTGAGGAGGAAGAAGGTAGACTTTCCCTCATTGGGAGAGCCCTGGGAGGAAGGACTTGCTGAGACCACACACAGGTCCCTGATCAGGGGACTCTGCCAGGCCAGAAAGGACACAGCTCCTGAGTCCCCATCAGTGACCACAGGACTCAGCTCCCAGGTCCAGGCTTCTTGGAGTATATGGTTTTTACTGAGCTGTGTCCTATGCTAGCTACAGGGCACACTCTTTTCCATGGCCCAGTTACCTGACTCTGTAGTTCACCATCCATCATCTGGATCCTACATTCTGTGATCCTGTTATGTTGTACTTTATTATTGTAGTTTCTCACTCTCAGAAAGAGTCTTTGTTTATATGCGGTAAAAACTCATACAAATGTAACTTTTTAAGGTGTGTGTACCCCCAGAGCATATTCTGGAAAAAGTTAAATGGCACACCTGTGCCATCTGATCAGCATCACAGCATCACAGACACTGTTACAGTTGAGGTGGTTTGAAAAGTGTATAGGGGCTGTTCAAGAAATGGCATTGAATAAAAAGTTCCCAGGAGATAAGGTTGGTGGTGTTCTTAAAATATGTGAATTCAGCAAACATTTCACACAACACTTCAACTCTAACAGCACACAATGCTTTTAGAGTTTTGATAGGACTTAGATATGATTTACTAGATATTCATGGTCTTAGTAGGCCTAATATTTACTAATTAATACTATATACATAATTTTCATTTTATGAAGTGAGCTTTATTTTTTAAAGTTTGTAGTTTTCTAAACCGTTGTTTCATACATTTTGTATCAGAATTTGAACTTAATGTCATATAATTTGTTTACATTTAAACATTTTTTTTAAAACCTATATTTACTGATTCTTTGTTTTGGTTAATTATGAAGTGAAGTGAGACATTTTAATGTGTTTGTAGATGTGTTGAATACTTGGACAGGAAAATTTAGAAATCATCACCTCCTCATTATACTCCATATCCAAATTTACTTTAACTGTGTAAGTGATCCCCAATTCTCAGCTCATGTGGCCATCCGGTAATAACCTACATACAAAAATCTCCTTCTTTCTCAGGTACTCTCTTCCCAAGTATCCAGAGAGATCTTTTTAATTCATAGGCAGGTCACCTCATGTATTAAAATCCTGCACTCACTCCTCATTGTTGTTTGCATAATACTCATACTCCCCAGCTTCCCTAAAGCACATTCCTGGTCTGTCCCCTGCTTGTCTAGTCCCTGCAAGACTCACTGGGTTTCCAGACTTATTCACTTCTCTGTTCAGGGAATCCTGAGCTTCTGTCCCTTCCATGGTCTCTATACCAGCTATTCCTCTGTCTGTTGGGAGGAGATGGGCTTCAACTGGACATCAGGGTAGAAGCTTATATTTTGGCAACTGTGAGAATTACAGTGTGTGTGTGTGTGTGTGTGCACACGTGTGTGTGCACACGTGTGTGTGTGTGTGTGTGTGTGTGTGTGTGAGGTAATTCTGAAGTTACACAAACTATGGAGACTAGTTGAACAAACTCTCCACAGGCATAGACTAACCTTAACCATTCCTTCCACCACTCACGCTAATCTCTCACTGAATGATGTTAAAACGAATTACAAATATTACATCACTTCACTGGTTTCTGCTTTACTCTCTGTATATACAACTTTTTCATGTTTTAAAAATTTATAAATTTTTAATGTTTCCAGCCAGACACATCTTAGATTCCTTCCTTGTTCTGCTCCGCACACACACTTACTTTAATTCTTTTCAATTACTCTTTCATTCTGGATTGTAAATCACTAATTTCCCTTCTTCTTCACTGTCACAAATCTAGCAAAATATATTGTCATCTCTCTGTGAGATATTGTCTTTGATACCTAACTAGTTTCCCAGTCTCAGATGTCACCTCAGTTTATCCTTTAACACACTCTCCACTCTGTACCTAGAGAGCTCACAAATGCCAGATGAGAACACTTCAGTGACTCCCACAGCCCCTGTGATCAAGTTCCTGCTTTCTGGGATGCAACCTCTTAAAGATACATTCGTGTCCTTCCTTTAGATCATCCAGACTCTCCTAGAGTTGCTTCCACCGATCCTGTCCTCACTGAGATCTGCCACACATAGGCCCAATGCAAGCTCTCTTAATACATATAATGAACAACCAGATATTCTTTTTAAAAAAATGTTTTTGACAAATGCTGTTACCAATACCTGGAACATTCCATCACCTTCCTTATAGCTCATTTTCATTAATTCTAAAGACATCATAGCAGATATCACTTTTTGAGGTCAGGCTTCAGTGGCCCAAATCCTTCCCAAACACAAGCTTTTCCTGGGAGTTAACTCCATTGCACCCTCATGATAACCCTTAATTCCCCTGAAAGAGCTGAGTTCAAAAACTGGTGGAAATGGGAAAAGATGGGGCTCTAGATCTAGGGACAAGTTAAGAGACTTAGTTCCTGCAAACTACAGAGGAAAGTTGTGTTGGGGCATCATTGTTTCTGTTCCAGGGATAACAGGAAGGAACCAATTAACATAGTTAATGATAGGCAATCTATAAAATTGATCCCCGGTCACTACACAGAATTGAAAGACGGGGAAAAAAGTAGGTAAGTGATGATTCCTTTAGTTATTCCAGCAGCATTCTCAGTTTCTTCTGAAACTAAATCAGAGGCTAAGTGGAGACATCTAGATTCTCTGTCCTTTATCTCATTAAGAATGTATGGAATGCCTTATATCACAACCCAAAAACATTTAGAGTTGTGTTGAATATAAATATGTATCTAATGAAAAATTCTAAGCATTCTTTATTGAATTTATTGAGTTTTGCTAGTAATCCCAACTTTAAAAGAGTCCCTTTAGATAACAGCCCCATTAAACACCAAATAGCATCCAACAGAAACCCAGGCCACACCTTCTCACAGGCTCATTGACCCGTTCTTCAGGAGCATGAAAAGGTCAGAGGAATCTCCCAGGTTTTTATTTCATTTTCCTGTGGGCCTCCAACACAATTCAAGTATAAAGGCTGCTGTCCTGTACTAAATAGTGGTAACCAGCCTCATCCCCAGGCTGGAGTCCAGAAAAGGCCACACTTACTGACCTGAACCCAGGGAATCTCTGAGATCCTGAGGAGCCGTTATTCCTAAGATTAAGTGTTTGGGCCATATCCAGATGCTGCTGCAGCCAAGCTGTCCCTGGGTGACAACACTGTGCTGCTTCCCGTGAAGGTGATAGTGACCTAACATTCCAGGGACTTGGTCACTGAAAGAGGCTGAGTCAGCCATGCCTTGGACACAGACCCTGGAGGGTGAGGAGACAGAGAGAAAAACGAGATGAGGGAGAGGGAGTGGAGTCAAGGTGGGTGGAATCCTTGTGGAGTCTTCACCTCAGGACAGGTCAGCCCTCACCTGTGCAGAGAATGCAGAGAATGCCAGGTCGTGGTGCAGTCATCAAGAGACCTGCATCCCAAGACTCCAGCATGGACTTGAAATACTACTAATTCTTAGTCTCTGCAAGTCCCAATGGTGGAAATTTTTTTACATTCAAATATGTCCATTTTTAAAGGAAAAAACATCAGGACCCCAAATTCACTATGCCAAGGGAAAGCTAAACCTGGGAACTGAGTTGTGCAAAAACTGCCTTCCTTGTGTTCACAGAGGTAGCTGTAACTTCACATGTTGACTTGACCTGGTGTAAAACATAGATTCACCATTCAGAAAAGGCATGCATAGTTGACTTTCTCCCACTCATTTCTTTTCATATTTAAACTGTAGATTCACTGAGCTCCTCCAGACTCATCTGTCATTATTTCCTCTGATCCTGTCCTTACTGAGTCATGACAAGAATGTTACCATTTGCCTCATTGCCTACCCCTCTCTGTTTTTTCTCCTGCTTTTTCTTTTTCTCCTTCCTTTTTTTACTTATTCTTTCCCCTTTAAATATTCAAGTACTCAAAACCCTCTTTAGAAAAAGCACAGGATAAAGATTATACTGTGATTTGTGTTTTCTTTTACCTCTACATTGATTAAGATCTGCCTCAGTTCCTTTTTGGTTTACATCCTGGACTCTGGCCACTGCCAGCACCCCTCAGTCCAAGGTAATGCCTCTGTTTCCTTGAGGAGAAAGAGAAAGAAAAAAATTCAATTGATTCAGACCCCAGGGAGTTAGAGAGTCTGGACCTTGATGGCCCATTGGTCCTGAGAGATCCTGATAGCTGCAGTAGGCTCAGTGAGCTCACTGTGTGCTCAGCTCCCCTCCAGCCTTCTGAGGGCCTTCCCCAGATGGCAGGGCCAGACACACTCATCCTCTGAGACAACCCTGTGGGCCCTCTGTTGGCCAAGTGTCCCGTTACATCACCAAGACATAGCCTTGCTGACTCACTGAGGGTCTCACAGGTGTGGCCTTGATTATGCTGTTTACTCCCAAGATTATGGCTCTCAGGGAGGAGACTGGGAAACCAGAGGGACTGTCCTTAGAGATCATGGAAAGTGATCTGATGAGGAGATGAATGAGCAAGCATGGAAGAAACCAAAATGTACTTTTTATGGGCCTCAGCTTCACCTAGTACATGTTCCACTAAGGAAAGGAAAACCATCACCTTTGTTCAGGAAGAGGACTTTAGTTTACTTTTCAAATTGTTTCCTTGTTTCATATTCTTAAAGTCATTCCTCTCATTTCAGTTATGGCAATCGTTTCAGATATTCCCTATCCTTTTGATAATTGTGTCTTTTTGTTTGTTCTGCTTATGGAGCATAATTTTTTAAGGTCCATCTTTGTGGAGCATGTAGCACCTCTTCATATGTTTTAAGCTTGAAGAATATTACCTTAAATAGAATATAGAACTACTATATTTTAATGTGCAACATACACAGCATATATGTAAAGCATTATGTGCACACTTAATCTTCACAAAACACTTGTATTACAGACTCTGATCGGGGCTTCTGCAGGATTAGGTAACATCGTTTCCAATCTCATGTTGCTTAAAATACCATTTGAGCATTAAAAACTTAGTTCTATTATACTGTTTGGTTGATCAGATGGAAACAAGAAAGAGTTTTTTATTTTTCTTAAAGCTAGCCTCATGTTCAGTTGAATGTCATAAATGGGATGCAAGGCCAAGGGTATTCTGATGGCTGGCACATGCTCTTTATCAGAGTGGCATCAACTAGTGCTGACTTTGCCCTTCAGCAAGAGGACATTTGGCAGTGTCTGGAGACAGTTTGGTTGTCCCAGGAGAGAATGGAATGTTAACAGACTCTAATGGATAGGGCTGAAAGATGCTGCTAAACATCTTACACTGTCCAGGAGAGCCCCCAACACAGAATAGTAATAGAGTTGTGGCTCAGAAACCCTGATTTAAACATCTACCCCATGAATCAATCATCTTCCATCAAGATTTGGAAGGAGAGATTGGTATTTGAAAAGAAAATAGGGAAAGTTGTGAGAAGACAAGTGCAACTCAAACACTCAGGCAGGAGGAAAGAGCTGCACACCCTGGTGGGAAGAGGATGAGGCTCCCAGGGTGGGGATGTTCTGGGGAGTTCCTATCTCACTTCCCCATGGATCTGGAGCACTGTGAGATTGTAGCTGTCATCATAGGACTGACAGTAGTAGCCTCATCCTCGGCCTTTAGCCCAGAGATGGTCAGGGAGGCAGAGTTAGAGCTATCAATGGATCCAGAACACTGATCAGAGACCCGAGAGGGTCTTTGGTTAACATTGTTAATTGCAGTGGTGGGGGCACTTTCCCAGGCACTGCTGGTAGCACTACACATATTTACTATCAATGCTGCCACTACTGTGGGTGCAGGAGATGGTGACTGTCTGCCCTGGAGACCCCAACACAGAATGAGGCTGAGTGAACACAACCTCAGCACAAGACCCTGCAAGGAGGGAGCAACACAGAGATCAGTGAGGACAGATCAGGGCTGGTTACAAGGGGGAAGGCAGAGGATATCCCAGGTGATATCCAGGAGCCCTCCCTGAATTCCCTGCAGGCAGCCACCTGTGCAGTGAGCCAGGAGGGTGGGGAGGAGTGGAGTCCAGGCCATGGTGGAGATGCCTTAGGTTCTGCTTCCTGAACCACAGCCAGGAATAAGCCACAAACCCTTCTTATCTTTCACTGTAATGCTCAAGGTGGGTAGTCTCCATGCAAATGTCTCCTTTTCTGGAGCATGCACAAGCCCCTCCTTTGACTTCAGACTGTTTCTGGCTGAGAAATAAAGAGGCTGTACAAGGAGAAGGGGCTACACCTCATGGAGGGCACAAGAACACCTGCAGGGGGGGCAGAAAACAGCTGAGCTGGGGAGCCTGAGCAGTGCTTAAACCACAGCGCCCTATGGTGGCTGAAGAAGTCACGTTGACCCTGGGCAAGTGTTGGTTCCCAGGGCCCCTGTCCTTCCATCCTGCACTCCTCACAATTTCAGCTGCTGCCCAGGGGATCTCTGCTCAGCACCCAATGCTGATGATACCTTTAAACTTTTTATTAAAAAGATGAGTAAAAAGCCAGTAGAGCCAGTACTCTGGCTAAAACATTTAGATTCACTTTGTGTTGTTGGGGGTGATGAGTATCAGGGAAAACAGGCTGTGTTTCAAGAAAACAGAGGCAATGTCTCTGTCTTCTCCAGGAACGATCACATAGGGTGAGGTCATGGGCCCTTCGCTGAGAAGCGAGCCAGCCCTTCAGGCAGGGAGAGAGAGAGGAACCCTGGGATCAGGGATCAGATTTCATCATCAGAGACGCCAGGAGAGCAGAAAGACTCTGAGGACACAGAAGGGATGGGCCCAGCTGTGAGTGAGGGGAAAGTTTACTAATAGCCCTTAATGAGTTTCATGAAGGTAGGATAGAAAGTCAATAGACCAGATAGTTGTCAGAGAGCCTTTAAGGGAATCTACACAGCTGGTAATGAATTGGCTTTCTTGGTAAGGTTTTAAAAAGTCAGTATAACTTTGAGGTTCTTATTTGTGGACCAGTTGGGTGCTATGCTGCTCTCATAGAAGATATTTTCTAGGACCTGCTTAGGGTCCTGTGATGAGGATTAGTTTCTCTATTTTGGAAATCTGTCGTGGACCGTCCGGACGGGTAGGCACGTCTGCCCGGGGGTCTCTCGACCTGCAAGAGGGTCCCAATACCTGGAAGAGGGAGTGCGCCTGAGAAAATAATAAAGACAGAGAGAGAGAAAGCGAGGCGTCTGGAGGGCTGATAGGCTGTGCCTAAACAGCAAATTTTATTTTTCAAAGGCCAGGAATAAATACACTTTCATGGCTCTGGTTTACGTCATAGTAAGAGGAATGTAAATGTATGCCTCACATGGCCTATACAATAGAGAAGTCAAATACACAATGGTTGCAAGACAAAATGTAAATGTATACCTTACATGGCCTTACAGATACACAATCAGTGGTTGTAAAAGGTAACAGAATTTCCTGTGATCACAAAGCTTGTTTACATCCAGACATTATTCCTCCTGGCTGCAGGTGTCTCTGGTTTTGCTTATCAGAATATCTTTTATCCGGATTGTCCTTTGTCTACTCCTAACTCAACTCAATTTCCCCATTCAGGAATCTCTGAGTCAGGAATCAAAGCCATCCCTTATGGTGGCATTTTGCTTTGCAAATATTGACAGTTAAACCATTATCTAAGGTGCAAGGCAGTCTGGTAAGTAAGGTTTAAGGATTATACTTAAAGTCATAAAAAGGTTAAAAGCAGGAACTGGTTGCCGGCAGGGGGTCACTCGGTCTAGCAGCAATGCATAGTTTTAGGCCCAAACGATATTGTGGTTGATATTAGAAACTGATCATTCATCTTTCAGTTCCTATATTCCGGATAGCTCGACTGCCTCCAGTAGGAAACTGTGTTTGGGATCAAACTCACCGTATAGTGAGACTCACGCCTTTTAGGGGTCTCACATGGGAGTGTTCCCCACAGAAATCCAGATAACACGTAGTAACACAGATGTCAACATGAAAGGAAGCTCTTCAATGCTTGAGCAGCAGGCTGTGCTGTCATGGGGTACTGTATGGGAAAGATGCATTAAAGGATTAACATGGAGGTATGAGAGCACCTGTTACTGTGAGTGGAAACAAAGGCACTGACACTCATTTGACGTTTGAGGAAACTGTAATTTATGTATTCAATATACTAAGCAAGTATTGGTGAAAAGTATATTTTAAAAGCACCTGCTACTTCTGCTTGACGGCAGGTGACAAAGTCACATGAAGATCAAGAAGGGGACTCCGCCCTCATGCCATTGTTGTGCTCACATCCATAGATGCATTAGAAATGAGGATGGTATTTTGTCACAGGAGGCATCACCTGGGCAAGGGCACTGCATCCTCCCCCACTCGGCCTCTTCATTAACAATTTTACACTTTCTCCTCTAACCTACAATGCTTCCTTCCTCATTCTCCCTCCAATTTGATTTTTATTCCCCTTTCCATGGTCATGACATGATGTCCAAGATCAAGGACATCAGAGGGACCTTTTCCAGCATTTCTCCCCCAATCAAATGACCATCATCATGCTCATTTGTGGTGGAGGACCAATGTTATCAACTTATTTTCTTCAAGTTTTCTTTTATTACACCTGACATCTACAATTATGTTCTCATATTGTTTCCATATATTTTTAATTCTATTTTATGGAATTATCTGCTCTTTTAATGAAATATTTTCAATGGCATATTTACACGTTCCTGGAAAATATTAGACATTTAGCTTCTGCAGAAAGAGTCAGAGATTTATAAAGTGTGCATTTTTAAAATATAGGAAGGTGATTTTAAGAGTTGATTAATGTCTAAAATGGCACATGACAAAGAAATGAAGACATATTTTAAGACAAAAGTCTATGTTCATTCATCAAACATGGATTGTGTTGTGAAGAAACAAGGACTATCAAAAAGCCTTCGCAGATGTGAAGGCCTTCATAGACCATTAGTTCCCTTCTTGTTGTGTGTCTACCTCACATCTGACCTCTTTGCATGAGTGAGGAATTGAATGAGGACATGAAATTCCACACTTTGATTACCTTGGGAGGAGTCGCTTCTCTGTCAATGACTGTTGTCCAGTCCCTGTGTTCATTGCACAGATGTAAGCCAGGATCTGCATACCGGTTCTGGACAAAGACAGTGTGACACTTAGGTAGGTGTGAGAGGAGAAGCAAAGACAAAAAAGAGAAAAAGTGCATTTAGAGGGGCATGCAGAAGTGTAGTCCAGGGCAGAGCTGTGACTGGGAAACTGACCAAAGTAGAGTGGGCTCCTCACCAGGTCCCAGGGAAAGTAAAGATGCTCTTTGTGTGCCTGAAGATGACAGGATATTAGGGCTGGGAGGAGCTGGTAAGTGCCCTGAGGGACAGGAGCTCTGAGGTTTGGGGCCCCCTGGAGAGGATGAAAAGGCAACATGGGAAGGAGCAGGGAAAGGAGAAGCATCCATGGCAGAAGGAAGGACACCTTGGCCTGGTTCACCTGAAATCTGCACAGAAAGGCCTGCCCTCCAGGGGAGGTCCCAGGCACCTGCAGAAGTGGGTAGATTGGATGCCTGAGGCTATGAGGCACTGAATGGGCACAGAGAACCCATGGGGAGAATGGCCTGGTCTCAGCACAGTCCAGTACTATTTCAGTGAAGTCTCTGGGCTCACGCACCTGCCATCTGTCATCCTCGTGTGACTTCCAATATAAAACACTCCAATGCCCTCATCTTCACAGCACACCTCACAGCCCCTTCTTATTCACAGATCTCTGTCCCAACTTTTCCTTCACAATGCTGTGGTCACTACCAGCAGGACCTGAACTGTGCTGACTTTGCTGCTCCTGCTGCTGCTGCTGCTGCTGCTGCTGCTTGTCAGTTCCTCAGAACGAGAGCAGATGGCAGGTGGGGAATTTTACATGGGGTGAGGGGCCATCCACAGCCTCATTGTATATGAGAGCATGAACCTGCCTCTGAGCTGCACTTGCCTAGCAGGAGTGTTCTCATGTGGATTGTATATTATAAGTGAATACCCATGGATCCATGTGGGGATGCCCAGCACAGCTTCCCAGGGCCCACAGTGTGGTCTGGGGATGCCTGCGTCTCTTCTACACTTCCTCTTCATCTTTGTGCAGTAAAACCCCTTCCTGCAAATATATTGCTGCCATGCTCTCTTTCCAGTTCTGACCTGTGCTGTGATTGAGGATTGGACTCTTCTTTGGACAGAACTTCCATTTTGAGTGGAAAAGGAAGAAATAACTTTTATTATTCCTATAGGACAAGGACTGTTCAACTACAGGATAGTCACACACCCATGGGGTAATTGCAGCCAGTCCCACTAGAGCAGGCTCAGTCAGTTGCCTTCTGGGAACTTTCTTTCTTGTCAGACCCACAGCGGCCCCTAATGGCCACAGAATCACAACCCTCTAATTTATTGACTGACACAGCTGAACAATCCAGGAAGGTCGGGCTTCATCTGATGCCTTTTCCCACCCTGAGGAAGGGAGGCTGATGTGGTTGGACTGCTTACTCCTCTGGTAAGCATGTGGAGTCACCACAGCCCAGAGAATCCCCAATTGGCTTCTGCCTCCCCCATTCTATGCTTGCCACCCTGCAACGACATCAACAACCCCACTGTTGTGGGTCATGGTTTTCCATCTCCCATGGGGTTTCCAGACTTTCTGCCCAGAGCTCTCATAATTTAGTTATTTACTTATATTTTCATAAAATTCCATTTCAATTATACCAAATATTTCTCCATGGTCACTGATTGATATCTTCCAATTATAGAAATCACTGATTGATATCTTCCAACAATTGTTTGTTTGATTACAAACAAACTTATTTGGTAAATCCATCTTCTATATCATGAACATGTCTTGAGAAGGAAATTGTTGCCCACATAAAAGTGAGGAGGCTCAGAATGTGCTATTAGCAATGATGCAGACATTCTGCAAGTGACATTTGCATGGAAGGGCTGCAGACTCTCATGGTAGGGCATACATGCTGAACTTGTCACCACCAGTGCTGGCTATTGTCACAAGCAGCAGGGGCCTAGTAAGAGCCCAGGCAGCACAAGCAGAGGAG